AGTCCTTCCCTTTAGATAATTTTACAGTGGTGGAAGTATTCCAAAAACCAGTACTGTATCATTCTAAGAAAGTGTTCCACAAAAACTACAATCGTATTGATTATGTTGCCGCTAATTAAACAAATTGATTGCTCAAGATTTAAGCTAGGAAATTATTTAGCATTAAAACAAAGGGATTTTTCTTTCCTACGACTGAGACTTTCAAACTGAAGGGAAAAAAAGCAAAAGAGGTAGTAGTACAAAAGCCCGCATGGGCAGCTGGCTCGCTGAAAAAATAGTCTGCCGTTTAAGGACACATACACAGACATTAAAGCCTTGGGCAAATTGCTCTATCCGAAAGAGAAAAAAAAGGCAAAAGAGTCAGGGTAGACCTAGAACAACTTAGTGCAAAAACGTGAACAGATGGGTGGCAGGGAAAGATCAGGACAATAGCATAGCATGGGACAGATGGTCATATATGTACATACATAGCCCAAAGTTCTGAGAAAATAAAATCATTGCACTTTTTTAATAATATGTGACATTGGTTGAATTTTACAAAAAAATATTTCGTCAAAATTCAAATTTGGAGGTTTTAAACAAGACATAAAATGTATGTAAATTAAGTACAGCTGTTTAAAGAAAGAAACAAATTCGAGGCATCGTAATGAATTCAAACGCTCGTCAAAATGATAAAATCGATGGAACGAGCATTTTGTCACCAATTTGGGCCATTTTTTATCGCATATCTTTTTACAAAGGGGCTCAGCATCTTTTATATCTATCTATAAACCACATGTGACCACTCATTTATTTCTTTGCTCGGATGCTCCCAAAACGCGAAATTGACCAGCGCCTGATTCCGCGAGATTGTGACACATTTTCTTTTTGTCTAAAAAAAAAAAAAGCTAGCTATCTTTGGGTAGAACGTTGAAACAGCTTGCTGACGATACGCTTTTGGGGGCATCGGAGCAGAGAAATAAACGAGTGGCCAGCTAGGATATCTTAGGTACTGTAATTGGACCATTAACTGACTGATGTCTGTGTCTGATCTGGCACTCCGGGCCGATTGGGCGGCTGGCAGTTCTATGTTTGACCTAGGTCAAACTGGTCAGAGGTGCAGAAAGGGCAAAGGTGAGCACTTTAAGGACACGTCAGACAGATTTGTCCTACCTAAAACTGTTAAAAATCAATGTTTCAAACCCACAAGCATAAACCACAAAGACAACAATGGACATTTCATAGTAATATAAATGTTGTTGCCTGCCTTTCTACATTTCCGAAAACGAAAACGGAATTGGAAAATCTGTATGGATACAACGAAGATAAACTTTTCCAAGCTTTTGAATGGGCTAGATTGGCGTCTTCAATAAGTTAAACTTTCTTAACTTCAAGAACCAAGGAATGTGATAGAAAAAATATGAAACGGAACAGATCGCTCCGTCTGTCTCTTGCCTCTATCCCTGTCTCTGTCTCTGTCTCTCTGTCTCTCACTCTCTCTGTCTCTCTCTCTCTCTC